TAATTACAACTATGTGGTAGTTTCATATCATACAGTTATTCCATGAAGAACTCCCAGTTTTAAACTCAAACTGATCGTAACAGATAGAGCTTTTGGCATTGAGTTTCAGTATTATTAGATGACAGGAGATTCTTTAGATGATCTCATCATGTTTAAAATCAGATTTTAAGCATTTATCTGGTCATTTCCCTTAATTCACGCTAGACAAACACCTTAATTTGTAACTTGGTGTATTTAACAATTTTCCTTATTACTTTTGGTCAAAAAAAAAATTATCAAAACCTGGTCATATGATCTATCTTATGTAGCACCAAATAAAACAAATGTATACTTGCTTGTCTATTATGTCGAACTTGAGTTCAACACAATTTGCATTGCATTTAATAAATTTGGGTGTGACCCCAGAAATTACCATTAATATAGTTATTCCACCTGCAAGGTCCATGAAACTGGTTCAATATTTGAGCTGACGTACATCATGATGTAAGATGTTTGTTGTTATTGGAGTATCTTCTCTATTATAAACACTAGACAAAATGTTGGGTTTCGAACACAATTATTTGAATATGTTCTGTTTTGGCTCTGGAATCTATGATTTTGGCTAAATCTTTGATATATGATCTTCACGACTATTTCGTTTGTATCAGTTGCTCCAGAATATTTGTTAATCAAGACTATAAGAATCAAATTTAGCCAATATGATCTTCTATACTTACCAAAAAACTTAATTAAAAACTTATATATTCTTCTATATTTTAAATAATACTAATCATTTTAACTGTTAAGAATGTTTAAAAATTATTTATAAAATTTATAGTCTAAAATCGACACAAATCCGATTTTTTTTTAAATCGTTTATGTAGTAATAACACAATTTTTCCCTTGAAAATAAATTGCCATTAAGAACAATGATAACTTAAACTACAATATTTGTTTTATTGCAAAAAATACACTTATTATTTTCTACTTACAAGCCGCATTAGTGTGTTATAGTCCAGCGTTTGAAGGTTTTCAAAAGGTATTTACGTGAAATTTTGACAAGCAACGCAATGACAACTTGTACCCTGTGGTGGATGCCACTCTTAGGATGCCATCTACCTAACTTGCATATCGCTTTATTGTTTTACATAAATTAGTAAAATTTTGGATCCAATTTTCTTAACTTATTTTGGAAACAAATGTTGTCTTTTTTAATTCAGAAGATCTTATAAGTGTGTACAAGATGGCAAGGCCTTCTCGGTTGCCAACAGATGAAATCCTTGACAATCTAGTATAGAGAAAAACCTCACGACCTGTCCATGGAATGTTAAAACATTATATGAGGCAGGTAAGACTCATAATACAATCAAGGATATGGATACATTATTAATAGATATAATGGGCATAAGCAAAATGATATGGATGAACTCTTGGAAATGAAGACATGAGAATGGAGTGGGTATAATCTTATACCAAGAAACTGCCAGACATGTTAAAGAAGAATGCTTCTTCAACTTAATACCTACCCAATTACAATTAACATTATCGAGGTATATGTCCTTATAGCTGACAAATCAGATGACATAAGTGAAGCATTCTATAATGAATTATCCAACACCTTAAAAAGCATTCTCAAAAAGGATTTAACTTTGATTATGGGTGATCTAAATGCCAAGATTGGTAGGTGACAATCGTGAGAATTCATGGAACAGATTGGGCTTGGAGAAAGAAATAATTGAGGAGACCAATTGGGTGAATTTGTAGTACTCCAGCTGTCAGAGACGAAAATGCCACTGAACCTCAAAAGCTGACTTTTGCCGAAAATATTAAATTTGGGCCAAGAAAAAGATGCAATAAAGGTTTACCACTTTTACCTCCAGGCTTCCACCTAAAACCTCAGGGAGGTTTATTAAACTCGTAGGGAAGTAAAACCGCAAAAAATCGATTTAATAAGAATCTGCACGCCATAAAAAAAATGTTTTAAATAAAAAATGTAGCTGAGATAATTTTAAACAAAAATGTTTTTAGCACTTTTTGTGTAGAATGAACCGTTCTCAACAAACAACGCTTGAAGCGACCGTCGATTTTGAATGTTAGTTAAGCGTGAGAAATCAACGTTCAATAAAATTTGTATCAGCTCGACGGTAAAAATCGATATCTTTTGATTCCAGTCTGCTATCGACAAAAATCAAGATGCGTTTTAAAGGTAAAGAGTTCAGCTTTTGTATGCAATTTTTGTATTTTGACACAAATGAATTCATATTTTATAAAGGTTTTAATTAAACATTTCACGAATTTTCTATTTTTTATGACTCTTATGAGATCAATACAATATAGCCCTTTTATTAACTGGTCACTATGACGTTTCAATAACTAGAACCTAAATTTCAAAACCTATAGCATAAAATTTTAGTTTTAAGTTTTGGCAACAAATGTGAGGCATTCAAAATATGCTTAAAAAACGCTGGATTTAAACATTCACTTAACAAATGATCTAAAACGTTTAAAACTTTATTTTTTTCAAAAGAACAAGAACTAACCATTTGCTATGAACTACACCCAAAATCGTCTTCTTGGAGGGATTTCCTGAACATTCAATTCTGCATTTTTTTATTCATATTTGAAATGCCCCAAATTTGTTGCCCACAATTCAAAATTGAAATTTCATGTCATGAGTTTTATTTATTTAACACCTTTATAAAAACTGCATTTATTCGCGGCAAACTACAAAAACTGCATATGAAAACTGCACTCTTTACCTTTAAAATGCATTTTAACTTTTGTCGATAGGGTACTTGGATCAAAAGATATCGAATTTTTACCATCAAGCTCATATAAATTTTATTGAACATTGATTTCGCGCGCGTAACTGACATTAAAAACCAACGGTCACTTCAAGCGTTGTTTCTGACATAACGGTTCATTCTACACAAGGGAGATTCTGCGGGGGGAGTTTTAGGGGAAATCCCGGGGGTAAAAGTGGTCAACATTTTTGCATCTTTTTAGGGCCCCAAAATTAATATTCCCAGCAAAATTCAGATATATAGCAGAAGATATTGTGATAGTAAAATAATTATACTTGTTAAAAACTATTTTTTTTTTCTACAAATGTGCTTGTAACGAGTTTTTTTTTTTAATAGTTGAAACATTTAGAAACATTATAAATTAAATTCACAAAAAAGGCACATTCATTCTTTAAATTCAAATAGATTTCAGCAAATAAAAGATAATTCTTACTTTTTTTAAGAGCAAACAGGGTACACTTAACTTTTTATACAGATGGTAAAAGATGCTTAACCTCAAATTTTCATGAATAATAAATTTTTTACTGTCAAATGCTGGACTACTCTCATTGCTGTGTAGTTTTCTTGATTCTAAACCAACTTAATTATCCACTATTCTTCATTTCGCTATTTTTTTTTTTCGGGATATATAATATATCAATATCTAGTACTCTTATTTATAAAACTTTCTCTTGTTAAATGATGTTTCAAGAGTGTTGTTGCTAAAAATAACCCAAGGTTTTAAAAATTAAAAAAAAAAAACACTCAAAAAAGATTTTAAAATTAACTTTTTTACCAATTGACAATGAACCAATGAAAAATTTTGTTTGTTTAGAATCAACATCTATATAAAACTTAGTGATGTAATGACATCACTAATCATTTATTTGAATTAATAAACTGTTAATAATTCATATAAAACTGGGTACTCTTATAACTAATAATTAATTTGGTCAATACAGAAAGATTAGTTTATCAGAGATGGATATAGAAACTCCCGTAATTTTAATGTTTACAGTTCATATAATGTTTAATTATCATTAGGATCCCACCAAAAAGAAATAAGGAGATAAACACAATAGTGATCAATACAAGAAATATGGATCACCGCATTGTACTGAAACATGGTGAAATATGTGGTCAACTAGTGAAAAATTAACACATTAGTTGCACAATTCAAGAACTTGATGTCTTGGAGAAAAAAACTAGTACACAAGTGAAGCAACTCCACAACAAATCATTAAACATATTGACAGAAACATTCGCTACTTTACCATACATGGTAAAGTAGCGAATCTGCGAAATTCACGAAATTGCATTAACCAGTTAGGATTACATATTACAACTAGATTTACAGTCTGTTAAAGTATTGAATATGTATCTTCAATATTAAACTCACAATTAACTGGTTCAAAGTAACGTATGTGCTTCTCTTTCAACTTTTGCAACAGTGAACTTACGAATAATTAGATTCGTAAGTTTACCATTGGGATTTATTAAGTTCTACACGTCCAAAATTACGAATATTGCACATTCGCAAGTTTACTAGAAAGAGAATTAATATTTTTATATTATTGGACGGACTGTAAAAAATGTAAACAAAACCACACCCATGCATAAAATAAACCAACTCTCGGGGAATTAGTCACTTAGTAGTTTAGTTCGTTATATTGAGGTGTAATAACGCAAGCTTGGACTTGTTTATTGTGTATCGGATTGTATTGGCTATTAACTATTGTTTTGGTAAGTACTTTATTTTTTTTTTGCTATACTTTAGTGCCTATACGAAATTTTTGAATAGTTGTAGCTTATTGTTTTAAAAGTTTTAATACTAAAATTCAATTTAACGGGTATCGGTTAAATAACTAAAACGTGACGTTTTGGTTTATTTGAAAAATAATTTACAAAAGATCCTTAGATGTATAGAAGTATAAAAAAGAAAATAGAACTGAATTTTATTATAATATCCATAGCGTCATAAAATATGGGTGTAAAGTTAAAAGAAGTTAACATTTTTTAATTTCTGAAAATAAAATGAACTATGTTTTTATGAAAGTATAAAAATTGGTGTAAATTATGGACCCTCCTCTAAATGTCAGCTCCAGGACAAATAAAATTCTTCAGATGACAAGTACTTCCAGACAAGGAGATACAGCAAAACGAATGCTAATATTGTTCTCAAGGATATAGTCGAGGCTGAAGAGCAATATTCATTTTGTTCGGATGAAAGTGATGAATATGAACCATGTGGAGATGATTCTTCTGATTCGGAAGGTAACAGTAAATATACATAGGTAAGAACTAAACTAAAGTAAAATATATAAGTAACAACTAAATATATTTTCTATGTAACTTTTATTTAGGTTTTAGTACTAAAAATACCAAGTCTAATAAGTTTTCTACTCGCTACCGCAAAAAGGTGAGAAAATCAGATGATCAATCCAGCAATGAAATTGGATGTACCAGTGTTGAGCAAAATGTTCCTCTTGAAGACACTGTCCATTTACTTGGCCGTCAAGGTAGTACACAAGATAAAACAGAAGCTTCCCCACCTGCAAGCCGTAAAAAATCAAAACTGGTTACTCAGGACAAGAGGGAACAGAAAATTAAGAGGTTTAAAGGTGAGGAATATTTAACCAACAAAGGAAAAGTCAAGTCAAAGTAATATTGAACATACATGTTCAATATTAATTCCTGAACTAGAAAGAGTTCGAATTTATAAAGAATTTCTGAGTTTACTGTCTTTGAAAGAGCAGCGACAGTTTATTATAACTCATGTTACAATAAAACCAGTAAACAGCAGAACAACAGCTGCACCATCAAGAAAATCAAGTACAAAAAAATATTCTCTGACATCAAATAGAGAGAAGCACACTGTATGTAGAGAATTTTTTTAGATACATTAAATATTTCTGAGGGGCGCTAGGGGAGCTTTAAAAAAAATTAATTCCAGTGGTATACTTCATCCAGATATGAGAGGAAAAAAGCACCACCAAATAAAATTAAAAGAGAAGATGATACTTTCATTAGGGATCACATACATTGCTTTCCAAGTGTCGAGTCCCATTATTGTCGTAAAAAAAGTATGTATAAATTCTTAGAATCAACATTGAGTGTTACAATTATGTACAGTTTGTATAAGGAAAAGTGTTTGGAAGCTCAATGTACAGCAGTTTCCATTGAAAAATATCGAAAGATTGTTGTAAAGTTTGCATTGCCAATGAAGAACGTGCTAAATATGCCGAGAATGATGAAGAATCTTATAAAGAACATTGCAATCGGAAAGAAGCTGCTCGAAAACTAAGAGACAATGATAAAAAAATTGCCAAAGAGCAAAACAATATCTTAGCTTTTCAGTCAGATCTTCAAGCTGTTCTGTCTACTCCGAAAGGTCCTTGTGTCCCCTTCTTTTATGTTAGAAAACTTGCAGTTTATAACATGACAATTTATAATCTTAAAGGTGCAAGTGCAACTTGTTATGTTTGGGACGAAACGGAAGGACGATGTGGGTGTTGAAATTTCAACATGCATTTTTAAGTATATAATGGCACGACCTACAGTAGAGTATGTGCGAATGATGTCTGAAAGTTGTGGGGGCTAACAGAAAAATTTTAGGTTTATAGTCATGTGTATGCATATCCTTAAAGAGCATCCAAATATAAAACAAATTGACCATAGATTTTTTGAACCCGGACACAATCAAATGGAGTGTGATTCAATACACGCTAAAATTGAGCAAAAAGTTAAGAACGTTCCAGTGTACACAACAGAAGGTTAGACTCAAGTTATAAGAACAGCTTGCAATAAACCTCACCCATTTGAAGTTAACCCTTTAGTGCATCAAGAACTTATGGATTTTTGTTCAGATAAATGTAATTTTCGTGGTGAAGACAACAGTAATACAAGTCTACCATTTAGAAAAGCAGTTTGGTTTATGTAGAAAAAAACAGATCTAAATGCTGTATTCGTTAAAACAAACCATGAAGAAACGACACCCTTTGTCAAATATGTACTTAAACTACAACAAGGTCGTCCATCAAACTTTGAACCAGCTACACCTTATACTAATCCACTCCCCATTTCCATTGCCAAATACAGAGACCTGAAAAAGTTATGCGAAGATCTACAGATTCCACATGCATACCATGGATTTTATGAAAGCCTTCCTACCCAAACTCTTATAAGGGATACTCTGCCTGAACTAGATAGTTCAGAAGAATCTGAATATGACGAAACGATATAATTATATTGTTTTTTGTTGTAATTTTTTGAGTTTTGTGTTTGGTCATGGTTTTGTTATTTTCATATTTTTTTATTTTGTATTATGTTTCCTAATAGCTGTCAATAAAAATTATTATTAGTAATTAGTACCTGTTATTATTATGTGAAGTGTATCAATTTTTTCCCATATAAGCTTTAAATTAATTGTAGGAAATGGTGCTTAATATAAATACTAAAGTATATCCAATACTTTACATTAGCCTATTGGACTAAGGGTTAATTTTACAATAGATAACTAACGAATCTGTGTTTTTTTGCTTTGATAAAGGATATTGAATTTTAGAATAAGTTAATTATATAAAGACACATTTATAGAATCTAATACAAAAATGTTGTTTATTTAGGTTAATATCCATATTTTTCACATTAACTTGAAATGTTTTTTAGCTTTCCTGTAAAATTTCAATTTTGCAGATTCGTTACTTTACCATAAGAGGGACGATATATGAAAATGGACAGCAACTAAATCTGTAGCAATTCCAAATAAGAACTAACAGTATAAGATACAACTAGTGGGCAATTAGGAAAATAGAAAATAAACCTGTTCTATCCACTTGTAAACAACAATAAAATAAAAAATTTAATGAAATAAAAAATAGAATTATACAAACTACTTGACATTTCTGTATAAACAGCTTGGCTAATATGAAAGAAATTAGTCTTAGTGGGGAACCAACCCCACTTAATGGAATATAACTGAATAACTATTGGATGTAATAGATTGTAGAATTTCATTATCATTATAAATGTAAGTTTGGTAATGATACAGTTAATGATAGCATGACACAACCCTAAAATTGAGCATAAACTCAACTCTAAAATTGAGTATTAAAAAGAAAATTATGAAAATCAAGAGCAACAGATTACATGTGCAACATTTAAAACAAGAACTAACACAATATAAAATCAAAAGATAACTAGGGAAAATTGTATAGGAAACAAATTTGTTTTTAATAGTCAGAATTGAGCTATAGATACGTATAGATACTGAAACGGATATCATTTTCAATCCACAAGGAAACTTAATTCCTGTCAGGAAAACTGAGGAAGTCAGAACTGAAGATCATTTAATTTCCTTTATGAAGAAATTTTAACATAGGCAATTAATAAAAATTGGCTTGTTTTGCTGTAAATCACTCTTTCAATTCATGTCACAAGTAATATCTAAAAAACAGTCATTAAATCAAGTTATTTTAAATTCAATATTTGGAAAATTTAGCTTCAGGTGAAAAATCAGGTTCAAATTAATAAAATTAATTTGAGATTACCAAAAGTATATTGCAGCTATAAACAGCTTTAATGACAAGTTAGTGTTAACTAAGGTCTATTGCCACAAAAAAGTTTGTTACATATATTTATTTTTTTATACAATTTTGTTTAGAACATACTCTTATTATTTATAAATAATTTTCTTCTTGTAGACATTTGGTAGATTGACTTTGTATTTATTTTTACAAATTACTATTTTTTAACAGTATGTCAGTCTGAATATCTAAATATTCAAAATATCAAGTTTGTATAGATATCTAAGCATTGAGCATAACAATAAATTTCGAGTTTAAAATTATATTTTACTGTAAAATGTCTGTAATACCTTCATCCTGAACCTCTTTTAATGGTGGAGGTGCTATTTCGTTTATTTCATTAAAAAAATCATTCACTTTATATTCCATACTTCAATTGGAAGTACCTTTCTAAAATACGTTTTAAAACAATTTTCCCAAACAGCAGAAACTACTTTTGCACCACCTAAAACACATCATGTTATACTCGTTGACTCGTTATTACTACTTCTAACCTTGAAAGAAAAAACATCGGACTTTTATCTGTCATTTATCTGTCATCTTCCTCTCTCTCTCTCTCTTTCAATACTGCATGAAGTCTTTCTTCCTTCTGCATCTTTGTTGCAAGCTGTCAAATCACAGAATAATAAGACAAATGCATGATACTATAAACTACAGATAAACCCACGCGCACGCGATCAGTCGTGTGACGTCACTTGGCGACAAATGTCACCAGAAATGTTCTGTGTTGTATGAAGTTTTGTCAGATTTAGTCAAGGTTAGTAGATATTTAAGTATCTACTTAAATATATACTAACCTTGAGATTTAGTTTTGTTTTATCGTTTATCTTGTACGTTGACATCGGTTTACTGGGTAAACCATCTTTCCGAAGGAGGTTTACTTAAACCATATCCAGATTTTCTAATTAAATGTAATGAACTGGACCATATTTTTAACAAAGGGTCATTAAAATCAACCAAGAATTATCTATAATATATTTTATATTTGTAAAATCGCTAATAAATTTAGCTGTGTTCAGATGTAATGTTAGTAAAGGTGTAAATTATATTTTAAAATTAGAAAATTGAATAGATATATTAAAGAAACATCCAAAGTTAAGAAGAAGAAAATATTAAAAATTGTAAAATAAATTGTTAAATAAACTTGTAAATTATTACAGTGTATTTTATTTTATCAGTTGTATTAAATTTTTATTTTAATAAATCAATCCATTGTATATAAATTTCCATTTGCAAAAGGATGTTTAGTTCTTACTTTTTTATATAATTTTAGTTTACATTGCTAGGCTAACAGAAATGTATATATAACATATTTTTAAGATTTAATTGCAGATATTTTACCTAACATCCCTTACTATTCTAAATATTTAAATAAAAATCCCTTTCTTTCCATATATGTTTTACCGACTGTGATGATAAAAGGTTGGTGATAAAAGTGACTTTTATCACCAATTAACGTCATGCGCGTCGATGTACAAAATTCGATTGCGAAGTGGGTTTATCTTGGAAGTCTTAGTATCATGGACAAATGGTAATTTTGTAGCGTATATACTCCATCTAATTTACTCACCATTGCACGTCATTATCATTGACAGAGATCGAAGTTGACATAGTTGCCAAAGTATAAAAATATCCTGACTCCATTTTAAATCAAATAGGTCACATAATTATTGCAAAAGTATTACCATCTCTTTACAACGACTATTTAAATTATTACGTGACATTTTTGAAAAGAAAACACACTAATTTTGTTGTAAAAAGAACAGATTTTATTAAATAGGTAAAAATATAAAACAAGAGGTATTCACTTTAAAATTCAAAATAATAAAGTACAAAAAGTGTCAACACCGCAACTGTCAAATAAGTGTTACCAATTTATGCCAAAAAATTGTCTTCCGTGTCTTCCGAACAAATGTTCTTCATAAAAACGCTTTATAATGTATTTATACAAATTAAGTGAAACATATTATTGTGTATTTCTTTAAGTTAACATTAATAGAAATCTTTAAATATTATTTCTACGCGTATATAATAAAATATGTCTAGTGGCTGTAATTCCAGTGTACTCGGCACAGTGATTCTAAAAGAGAACACACCCACCGCCTAAATATTTCGTGTTGGTATTATGGGACCTCACGGACTAAGACGCTGATGACGTGCAACGGTAAGTAAATTAGATGAAGTATAGATAACTTCTTTTAAAGTCCGTTTTAGGTCATTAAGGCTGTTTTATCGGTGCACCAAAATTTTTTCTCTGTTATTTACCGACAAAATGTCTCGAAATTTGGACATTTTATTCAAAACTATGTTGCCGTTAAAATGATGGTTTTACTTTTTTTTATTTTTTTTAATTTCTGTTGAAAATTTGGATTATACTGTTTAACGTTCTATTATAACCAAACTTTTCACGCCCATCAGTTGAAAGAGTTTTTTTTTCTGTAATCGTTGATTTCTTTTTCACCTTTCTGTGTCCAGTAATAATCGAGAAAAGCGTATTCAAACTTTAAAGAAAATCGCTAAAAAATACTGAAATCTAATAGTGAAACGTGTTCCTCATCATTGTCGCTTAGCTTGATCGTTATCGCATTAGTGACGTCAAATTTCATGAACGTACGGTAGGGTCAGTTAGTTCGCTTGAATCAGAATCCATTTTAGTTCTTTCCTTCTTGTATTTTCTTTATCAACTTGCTTAGTTTTTACAGTTTACAGTATTCTTATTTATTTTGAAAACATTGAAATTATTTAGTTTACGGGTATGTTTAAGTAATTTATTATTAGTTTAGTGGCATAAGTTAAAAGTTATTTAGTTTACGCGTATTTTTAAGTATTACATTAGGTTAGTGATATAAGTTATAAGAGACAAGATAAAAAATGAGTCCCAGTAAACTTTCTAGGTCAAGGAAAAGGAGAGGAATTGCACTACAGTATTTATTATTTATATATTTACAGCCGTTTTTAAAAGCTTTTATTTAACTATATATATATATATATATATATATATATATATATATATATATATATATATATATATATATATATATATATAGCGTTGATTACGTTCTTCACAAACACCCGTTGTTTGTTTTATTTTAAAAATATTATAATAGTTTATCTTCATTAAGTTCGTATCTTTTTCCTATTCTTTGTTTCAAGTTAAGAAAATAACATTACGCTTATGGAGATCAGTGTTGTCAAAACTCTCAGACACTCTCTTTTGCACGGATGTCCAAGATATTCTCTTTGCTTAATTTTTGAATTTTCATTTTCAATTAACATTTAACTGTAAAGTCAGAATAACTACTAAATAAAAGCTTTATTATCATTATGTAGTCAGAGAACACATAAAATCGCTGACATAAGCACATCATATTATTTTAAGTTGCAATTAGTAATTAGATATACGCATTCCAAGCGGTCCGTTTATTTGCTTTTATGATTCATGGCATATAATATTTTCACCGAAAAACAAATAAACTGTCGTTACTATAACTAAAATAAGATAAAATAAAATTATCTTTTGTAAATACTATTTATCTAATTAAAATCTTGTTTCGAATGGGCACTTTTGGTCAATTACGTTAAAAAACATTAATTTAATAATTCATGTCTGTGAAAACGAAAATACAAATTATAGAACCCTAAATTGTGCTTGTGTGTGTCGTGGCAACACCGCGTTTCTATCGTCCATAAGAAATACATGGCCCTATCTCTGCAATGTTATTTTCTTAAGGTGGAACGTAGTATAAAATAATTTTGTTTCTTTCTCATATTTTTAGGAACTTAAAAATCAAAAAAGCTACTGTAAACAAAAGTTCTTCATCAAATCGTTCATTCCATCAAGAATTAGCAGAAACATCTACTTTACCTAGTTGTAGTGTCGATTCGTAAGTAACCCTTTTTACTTTTTTTTTTATTTACTTACCTTAAAGTAAGTAAATAGAGGGTTCATGACCTTACATATTATTTGTTTATGGTCAAAATATTACCAATGTTATACTCTTAAATAATAATAATAACAAATAATATCATTTGCAGAAAATACTTTAAATTTTATCGTTATTTCTAGTAATAGCTGTCATTCTCAGTCAGTTGGGATTGCCTCTCCGCAAAAACCATCTTTTTCGGTAGATGGCAGAAGAATAGTGGACATAAACTTTTTCATTAAATCTATTCAAGGTTTGAATAATCATTCTCCATTTTCATGCAACTTTTCTAATATGGAGATTATCAAAGAAAAAATGGATGGATTGATAAGTACATTGACTTTTAAATGTCAAATGTGCAATATTGAAAAAGAGATAGCAACATAGGATTCTGGTAACAATTCACTGAACTTGAATGGTTCTGGTTATTCAGACATATAGCAGCAGCACGCTGCATTAAATATACCTGTGATGTCCTACAGGCAGTATGCAAAACATACGGAGACAGTTGCAGATATCATCGGCCAAACACTTTGTGATTCCATAGAAGAGGCTGGACGGGAGGAATTAGCTTTAGCCAAAGAAGTTGGTGAAGTAGATTCCGACGGAAATGGGTTAATAACCGTTATAGCTGATGGTGCTTGGTCAAAAAGATCGTATAAAGTAAACTACGATGCTTCTTCAGGTGTAGTACCTGACGTAAAATTTATTAAATTAGTACGCCTTTGATGGATAGGACATGTAATTAGGCGAGATGAAGATGAAACGATCAGAAAAATTTTCGACCGAAGAGGACCAGTGGGAAGACGATCCAGAGGAAGACCAAAACTTAGGTATCAAGATAACATAGAGGATGATCCAAAATCCATTGGAGTTAATGCTTGGAGAAAGGTGCCAGAGGCAGGGGCGAATGGAAGATTGTTCTGAAGAAGGCTTTGGCTCATGACGAGCTGTAATGCCACTGATGATGATGAAATAACTATCCACGATTTGTGTTTTATTCATAAATTGGATACTTTTCTTATGTAACTGCAATCTATAAATATATTAAAATAATGTATATTCCATTCAGAGAACTTTTTCCTCACAGTGCGTCGCCTCGAAATACTTACCAGATAAATACATTTACTATTATGATGGTTTCGCAGGTACCAATTTTTTATAGATTAATAAAAATATTTTTTGTTTAATTTTTACTACGCTAATATCAGTTTTCTCTAACAATTAAATAACTTCTTGAAATAATTTTCAAGCTATAACTGCGAAATTGTTTATTTGTTTGTGACATTAAATTGTAATTTTTTTGATAATAATATTCTTATGTTATTTTAAATTTATTATAAATAAACCCCATGGTGTTTTTTGCAGTCACGTTTCACAATTTTTATTCAATACTATTATGTTTAGCTAAGACATATAAATTAAAAATGTGATTAATTCTTTTTAAAACATTATCTACGATAATCAATCTAAAAAAAATATTCCGACAAAACTAATTTGAATGGAGAATAATGCATTTAATGTCAATAAACAACCCGTGGGC